ATCCATTACACCACACTGAGTACACAGAGCACAACAGCATTGGTTATTCCATCAGAGAAAAGTCAAATCTTGAAATAAGAAAGAAGCAAAGTGTAATAAATTTATATTAGTATTCTAATCCTGAAAAACAAAACTTTCCTTCCAGTATAATTGGAAGTGTCAGGACAGGAGAAGGAACGAAAGAAACAGTTCTGAAAGTTGTTCACAGATGGCATCTATGCCCTATGGACAGTGGTCCCCAACCTTTTCCAAACCGTGGACTGGTTGGCGGGGCGGGGCACCCCTGCATTCGTGGGGGGGCAGGGAGTGCTTATGGGTGGGCGGGGCACACATGCGCATGGCATGCTCACGGGCTGGCGGAGTGTGCTCATGTGCATGCATGTATGGGTGGGGTATCCGTGCGGGTGGGCTGTGCAGGTGGGCATGCCTGGGGGGAATGTGGGCAGGGGGGCAGGAGATGTGTTTCTGCAGCCTGGTCCTGCTAAGGCCACGGACTGGCACCAAGCCGCATACCAGGGGTTGGGGACCCTGCCCTATGAAGCTACAGAAAACGAACAGGGATAGATAATTGCTGGAGAAAATGAGGACAGAAGGGAATTTTGGAACACATGTGGATTTTTTGCCCAAAACATAGAAGCATTTTGGCATGACGTAATCAGTTGGACAGAAATACTAATAAAGCAATAATCACAAATCAAACATTGCTATTATTTTCAGCATTTACAGGGAGAAGTGAGAAGCTACGTAATAAGATGAAGAGCATCTGGAACTGTTAAGATTAAATCTTCCATTGGGAGGGCGTGAAATGCACCAAGCCGCATACCAGGGGTTGGGGACCCTGCCCTATGAAGCTACAGAAAACGAACAGGGATAGATAATTGCTGGAGAAAATGAGGACAGAAGGGAATTTTGGAACACATGTGGATTTTTTGCCCAAAACATAGAAGCATTTTGGCATGACGTAATCAGTTGGACAGAAATACTAATAAAGCAATAATCACAAATCAAACATTGCTATTATTTTCAGCATTTACAGGGGGAAGTGAGAAGCTACTTAACAAGATGAAGAGCATCTGAACTGTTAACATTAAATCTTCCATTGGGAGGGCGTGAAATACACTGACATATATATGATGTCGCCTTTTCTTCTTTGCATTTACAGAAAACTGTGTTGGTGTGAAACCTCAATTTTGTTTGGTTCATTCTGTTTCCACCAAAAGCAAAGTGTGTTATTTATGTACTGCACTATAGTGCTTAAAGCACTTTCTGAGTGGTTTACAATTTAATTATGCAGGCCACACATTGCTCCCCATGAGCTAAGTACTCAATTTACTGACCTCGGAAGGATGGAAGGCTGAATGAACCTTGAGCCAGCTACCTGGGATTGAACCCCGATCATGAGCAGAGTTTTGGCTTCAATATTGCAGTTCAACCTCTACGCTACAAAGCTGCCAACTCTAGTCCCTAGCCTACTTTAAAGTTAAAAACTCTACCTTGGCTTGGCTTCTCAGAATATCTAAATATCTGATGGCATATTCTCAGTAGGATTTAGTATACAGTACTATCCAGAAGTAGGGAAAGGAAGTGGAGTTCCTTCAAGAGTGAGCTCTCCTAGTACAACTGCACCCTATGAAGGCCCTCCAGTCTTGGAAATGTTCCCACTAAGCCAGGCTGTATGAGCAACCAAATACATTCAAAGAAAGGCCAAACGGGTAGATGTGTGCCTGCATCCTTCTCTTTTGTTTGAAGAACTGGGTTGTGATATCCAAATCACAGCTGCCTCAGCTCTAGCTTTAAAACAACAGCTGGAATGCAGTCTGCCTCTTTCCTGAGGTACATCTAAGAAAGATACACCAGGTGAAATCATCTTGTCAAGAACTTTTGGACTTCCTGGTCTTCACTCTGGAACATGTCTGAAGTGGTCCTGGTCTTCGACAGCTTGCATATTGTATGATAACTTTTTCCAGGATGATCTCCATGAAGATACTGCCTACTCTTGCATTTGTATTTTGTATTGACCACACAGCTCCCTTTTATTCCAAATGTTATTAGGATCCCAGAACTCCTCCTTGGATGAGGGAAGTAGAATGCATGGAAGAAAGGCTGGCCTCCCCCACTGAGATTCGTCTGGCACTGACACTGATGACATTTCGGTGCCAGGTCAAAACCTTCCTGTTCTAGAAGTCTTTTAATTGAAATAATATTAGCTGTGGGTCTGATGACAATTTATATATATATATTAATTGCATTTTAATTGTTCTGAATTTTTATTGTATTTTAAATGTTGTAAGCCGCCCAAAGACCTTTGGGTAGTGTATATAAATTAAATAAATAAATAAATTTCGGTGCATGAAACGGGAAGGGGCAAGAAGGCATCCTGGGGCTCCAAAGGACCCCTTTAGGTCCGACTATGAAAGGAAAGGGATGGCTAGAAGTCTTCTAGTTCAGTGGTTCTTAACTTTGGGTTACTCAGGTGTTTCTGAACTGCAACTCCCAGAAACCCCAGCCAGCACAGCTGGTGGTGAAGGCTTCTGGGAATTGCAGTCCAAAAACACCTGAGTAACCCAAGGTTAAAAACCACTAGTTCTTCAGGACGTTGCACCATGTTCTGCATTCTCCACAACACTTAACAGGTAAGCCGTTAGGCGACGTTTTCTAGTCATCAACATTGCTCCAAAAAGGAGTAGGAAAACTTTCCCTCGAACTCAGGATAAGAAACTGGCTCCCCCTCCCCTCCCGCCCCGCCTTCCTTCACGTCAGAAAAAGGAAAGAGACGTGAACCGCAAAAGAAAGCACGGCAGGAACAATACGAGCCGGAGTCAAGAAGGCAAGCGAGGCTCACGAGACGCCGAGAGGGGTGAGAGACACGCGCTCTCCCCCCACGTGGTTTCTCGCCTTTCCCCGCACGCTTAAACCCCGCCTCCATGACCATAGACCGATACGTTGGTTTCTCTAGAGGCACCTACGCCTGGCGCGGAGATTCACATCCGGGTACCGTAATGCCTGATGGGAGGGGCAGCGTCGAGAAGCGGAGGCTGTACTGCGAACTTGGCGCTGCTGAAACTACGTTTCCCAGAAATGCCTAATATCCCTTTTTTGGGGGCGAAAATTAAGCCCCGCTTGACGAAACAAAAGCTGGGACTCTGGATTAGAAATTGGGGTTTCCCTTCCTTTTGCGTCAGGCAGCTTTGAATTAGCCGGCCACCCTCCTCTGTTTTTCACAACGTCGTCTTTTCGGCTAGTCCCGGTCGAGCCGCTCTTCTGTTTCTCAGGACGAACTGGGGGGCGCCATATTAGGGCTAAGATCCTCCCAGCCTTTCCGACTATACTTCCGGTTCCCGGCGGGGGTGTTTAGACTATTCCGTCCCCCCACACCTCCTTGCAACCCCGGATGAAAGGAGTTGCAATGCATTGGAATCAACGGAGCAGAGGCGATATGATTAGGGAATGCATCAGGGTCTCTGCCCCCCCAAAAAAAGGGGTGGGAGGAGAAACCTAGATAAAAGTGTTTGGGTTTTTAAAATATATTTAGAGGGGCTTATGAAGCGAGCCAATTCTGTGCTTCAGGAAATTGAGTCTGTTGCACTGACATTTCTGACATTTTAACGTTCGCTTAGAAGCAGCCCCAGTTCGTTGTCTCTCCCCCAACACACACACCGGTGTTACGGAGCGTGTTTTCTGCTTTTCGAGACGGGAGAGCAAATATTTTCGAAGCATTGTAATCCGAGGAAGATTGCGCTGCCCTGGAAACCGAAGGGAGAGTAGAGAAGAACGTTTATCACTCAAAAACGCTCAGGAGATCCATGGCTGCTTCATCACGAACTTGGGGTTCTGGGGACGGTCATTTTGTATTTCTATCACCGAGTGATCAAGAATACTGTATACATTTCCCGTTTACTGCCTTTTGATTTTCTTCTTAACATTCCCCCTTTTTACTGTCTCGTGTAAGTGTGTCTGCCTCTCTTTGTCTATGCGACAACTGACGATAATATCCCGTACCTCTCACGAAATGAAACCCACGGAAAATTGCGCCATAATAAAAAGGATGTAGTCTTTAAGATACCCCAAGACTGCCCGTGACTTTTTCTTTGGTAACACTTTCGTTTTGGAACATTCTGCTAGAATTTTCTTTTAAACAGACTGTCCTAGTACCACGTACCCTGCTTCCCGGAAAATAAGACCTAACCTGAAAATAAGCCCTAGTAGGATTTTTCAGGATGCTCGTCATTTAAGCCCTACCCCCAAAATAAGCCCTTTAAGTGAAACCCTGCCCTCCACCATTGAGCAGCAACCAGAAGATGACAGGACTGTTTTTGAATAAATGTTGTACATGGAAAAAAATACATCCGCTGAAAATGAGCCCTAGTGAGTTTTTTGGAGCAAAAATTAATTTAAGACCCTATATTGTTTTCGGGGAAACACGGTAGTTGCCACAGCAAAGCGCGGCAACAGATGGGCGTGCCTGTGGTCTCGCTCCTTCTTCTGAACTCGGGCTTCCCTCGATGCTCCTGCAACTCTTGCCCCGCACATGGCGGATCCCTAGAAGTTCAACCGTGAGCCGGAGGTGACTGGAGAAACCTTGGGAGATGTTCCTCTTTTCAACATCTCTTTGTATACGAGGGGGGCGAGGGTGGTGGGGAGGGAAGGGGAGGAGGAGCCGGCAAGTTTGGCCCCGCCCCCCTCGGCGCTTCAGCCAGTCGGGGCAGCCCCGCCTGGATCCTTTTCTGCCGCCTGACCCTGGGCGGGGCGGTGGCGCTTGAATCCCG